GATAAAGACCACGCCCATAAATCAAAATGGCTGCCTTCAAACTAGACAGAGTTAGGGAAAGATAATTTATTTGTAGTTTGTTGATGTTACTCTTTTACAGGCTGCTGTGTTGAAATCTGCTGAAGGACTTATTGACTTTGTTAATAAAGGACCCTCTCCTTATCATGGTAAGGCACAGCTGTTGACTTAACATTTTGCATTGAGACGAATTTCTGAAAAATACCCTGTACTATAGTCCATGATTTTAACAAAAATGGCTCCGAAATTACCCTCAATTTTTATTACATTTTCTGATACATATTGATGTCCTTATGCTATGTAGAAAGTTTGAGCTGATTCCGACTTCAATTTTTCAAGTTACAGCCATTTTAAGAAAATGCCAAAAATTTTGAAAAATACCCAAGGCTATAGTCCATGGTTTTTTCCAAAAAATGGCTCCGAAATCACCCCCAATTTTTATTACATTTTCTGATACATATTGATGTCCTTATGCTGTGTAGAAAGTTTGAGCTGATTCCGACTTCAATTTTTCAAGTTACAGCCATTTTAAGAAAATGCCAAAATTTTGAAAAATACCCAAGGCTATAGTCCATGGTTTTTTCCAAAAAATGGCTCCGAAATCACCCCCAATTTTTATTACATTTTCTAATACATATTGATGTCCTTATGCTGTGTAGAAAGTTTGAGTATAGTCCATGGTTTTTTCCAAAAAATGGCTCCGAAATCACCCCCAATTTTTATTACATTTTCTAATACATATTGATGCCCTTATGCTGTGTAGAAAGTTTGAGCTGATTCCGACTTCAATTTTTCAAGTTACAACCATTTTAAGAAAATGCCAAAATTTTGAAAAATACCCTGTGATGTATTGTGTCATAATATTTGTGTTTCTCATAGTTGTTGAGGAATGCAAGAGGCAGCTGATGGAGAGGAATTTTACTGAATTAAAAGAAAAGGAGTCATGGGAGATCAAACCTAATGGATTGGTATGATAAAATACACATGTACACATATACTGAACTTTGATAAAAGGATTACCCACAATATGAAATGTACTTTATCTGACTGATGTACATGTACATGTACATGTACATGTATATGTACATGTTTTTTTACGTGTACAGTAATAGAATAGTTTATAGGTTCTCTCTCTCTTTTCCCTCTAGTATTTTGTCGTTAATAATTTCTCAACTATTATTGCGTTTGCAGTAGGTGGCCAGTATAAGCCCGGTAATGGTTTCAATGCTGTTGGAGCCCACACTGATAGTCCTTGTCTCAAAGTATTTAACCACTGAAATGTGAGTTTGTGCTTTAGTTTATAATTTGATGCTTTAGGTGAAGCCAAGGTCTAATCGCTCACGTTGTGGCTACCTCCAGGTAGGGGTCGAGTGTTATGGAGGAGGGATATGGCACACCTGGTTTGACAGGGACTTGACAGTCGCTGGACGAGTTGTTGTCCGTGTAAGCTAATCCAGAACATGTTTTTTATGTTGATAACTACACAGTACTATGAAGTTGTTCATTATTATTATTATTATTATTATTATTATTATTATTATTCTATCTTTATTCAGTCCAGCAAAGGTTTGGAGCATAAACTGGTTCATATCAAGAAGCCAATCCTTTGTGTCCCCAATGTCTGCATTCATCTTGCTCGTGATGATCATCTCAAGTTTGCTCCTAACAAAGAGAATCACATGTAACTAGCCACCATTTCAAGCATTCCATCATTATATTATATTGTGACACACACACATAGTCTGCCAGTTTTAGCTACTTCAACAATGCAGGAG